ACTGTGCCAAAGGAGAGGTAGATCAGTCAAACTGGAATAACACTAAGGGGAGACAGATCCTGTTGTACCTGCTGCTCTTCCATGGCTTCAGGTGTTACCATCATCTGAAAGAGAAAAACCTGGCTGTGACATTGCATGGAAAGGTTCCTGAACAATGCCAGTCCCTGTCTTTGGCAGGAAAAGATCAAGCTTAAGAAATGAGCTGAAATACCATGTGCTGCAGTAAGTATCATGAAATTACCAATGTCTGCTGTCTTGCTGAACACAAATATGCATATCATTTTTTGCAGCATTTTGAGTTATTATAACTAATTCACAAGCTCCCTCTGCTGGGCTCCCAGCATAGGAGAGCAATGGCAAAGCTCCTGTTATGTTATTTGCAAACTGACCCATTTTCTTTGGCTTATTTTGACACTTTATACAGCATCAGAAATAGTGTACAATCAAATTCATGTAAGTGGCTTGTAAGAAGTGTAACAGAGAGAGATTTGATGTGTTAGATGCCTAATAACATGGTTTTATGTGCATAGAAGTTTTTTTCCAGAATAATGTAACTGTAGCTGTTACCTCCTGAAAGTGCTCATGCATCTATCAAAAGATCGTGATACTTGGTTTCAGTAATGCCTTCTGTCACAGGAAGGGAGCTCTAAGGAAATAAATACAGACCCGTTAAAAGAATTAAAAGCTTACAGTCATCAAATACACTCCATACAGTATGCAGTTTGATGTAGCAGTGGTTTTCAAAATGAGCCAAGGGGTTTGTTCAAGCTTTCAGAGGAAGGAAAAAGTGCTGAAAATGTTAGTCTAATGAGAACAGCTCATCCTGCTGCTTTCTGCCTAATCCTCAAGGTCAAGATTTCTGCCTACAGTTTTCAAAACACATGCGTGGGGCTTAGCACTGTCATAACCAGTAATTGCAAAATCTCTTTCAGTAGATTAAAAGGAGTTGTGAAATTATTGACTTCCAACTAAACAATCTCAGGGTGAAAGATTGCTAACAAAAACCAGAATGATGCTCTGTGATTGCTGTAGACATAGCACTTCCTGACTGCCTTTTAACAGGGATTTACTGAAAAAAACACCTGCCTTAAAAAATTCACAAAATTGTGGAGTGCCTTTATGGGAACAGGCATATTGTCTGCAGTGGCACCAGAGAAAAATGGAGAGACTTTATGAACAGTCACAGTGGCTTTTTTTACTGCAAGTCAGGCTGCTAGACACAGACAGTGGTACAAACAGAAAGTATTAAAGTGCTGCCTATGTGTTGTGCTTAAAGTAACAGGTATATGGGAATGTAGCTGTCACCAGTGTGAGTGGAGCAATCATTTGGCAGCACTCAGCATCACTGGACAATGATGTAAAACAGAAAATAAAGAACTCCAGTGACCAATTGATACAGAAATTGCAGGGAGAATGTGGAATGCATGTATTCCAAACTTCAGCCTAATGAGGAGACTAAAATAAACATTTCTAACATTAACTAACATTCAAAATCACCTCTTTTGACTAAAGTGGGCAGGCCATCTCTATTTAACCAGGAGAAGGAACATGTATGATGTGTGTCTTTCACAAATAGCTGAAGGATTAAGAGGGGCTTTTTACATGGGCATGCAGTGACAGGACAATGGGGAATGGCTTTAGACTGAAAGAGGGCAACTTACAAATATTAGGAAGGAATTCCTTCCTGTGAAGGTGGTGAGACACTGGAACAGGTTGTTGTGGAGAAGTTGTTCAAAGCAAGGCTGAGCAACCTGGTCTAGTAGAAGGTGTCCCTACCCATGGTGGGGGACTTGGAACTAAATGGTCTTTAAGGTGCCTTCAACTCAAACCATTCTGTAATTCTGTGGCAGAACAGGTTGTGATGTCTTTAAGAATACAAAAAGAAATTAGGTGAAGTTTTAAAGCATTAGCAATAGTGCTGAATGTCATTAGTCTTCCGTTAAAGTACTGACATGATAAAGAATGATTTTACCCATGCTCATATTAAGTGACATTCAAGAATTTTCTCAAAATACGTATCTTATCTCAAGTATGAATTTTTTTTCTAGGTAGCATATTCTCATATTGGCTTTATTCTGCATCAAAGCATCTGATGGCTCTAGAGGACGTGATACCAATATACGATTTATCCCTTCAAAGTCTGTTTCTTTTCTGTCCCTAATTAAACATTACTTCAGTAATTCCCAGGGGCAAGGAAGCATTGCAACTACACTGAAATGAAAATGAAGTTTGTAAGACCACAGTTGTACTGTCTGTGGTTATGATTAATGTATTTTGTGATTGTTGTTTTGCTCATAAGATTTATCTGGTTTTTTAAAGATACTGTGAGGGAGCATACAGAGAGAAACCACAGATTTTTTTTTTTTGTAAGGTGAGAGAAATCTGAGATTTTAACACGATTGAAGTAAAATGTGTCAAACCAATGGAGATCTTAAATGTGATTGCTGATTATTCAGCCTTTGGCAGGCCACAAATAGTGATGGTAAGTGAGAGTTTCTGTTCCAGTCAGCCATTTCCCAGAATGAGGAGCAAATGCAAATCCTTCATACTTAAGTGTTTTGGGAAACAGGCAGCAACCCTACAATGACTGTGAATTGAGTGACTTGGTAAATGGTATTTGTAGTCAACATAAAGATGTATTTATTAAGCTGTTAGTTAGGTCACATCTGCCTGGTGTGAGCCCACAGATCAGCCCACAGTCTCTCCATCTCTCCAGGAGGCCAGAAATAAGGCTGTTTTCAAGATACACAGGTCATTTTCTTTCCCATTTTCTTTCGTCATGTGGAAGTGGATCAGGTGGGTTGATTTCTACCATTCATTCATGCTTTTAAATACCGTTTTTCATCTGTCTTTGCATATGGGCTGATTTTGCATTCTGAAAAAGAGGTGACATTTGTTAGCATATTTCATTATGCCAGCCAAATGGATATACTCTGTATAGACTTTTGTATTCATAGTGCTCAAGTGTTTTGACTTTTTACACTTATTTTACATTAAAAAACAGTGAACAGTGCATTCTTATCTAACTGCTACTTCTTTATGCAGCACCGTGGAAGGCTGGATTTGGATAGAAGTTTATATCCATTTAAAATACACAATCAACATTCTAAAACAGTCATTAGTTCAATTTAAAAATGAAATGTGCTGAACATAAAAATAAGCTTAGAAAACATGGTTTGTATTGAAAGCTAGCTGATAATATTAAGTGAAGGAATTATTACATACAGAAAATGAACTGATTAAGATTTTTCTAACCCACATGCCTTTGCCTTTCGGAATTACAATTAGTAGAACTTATCCTTCTCATTTATTTTTAAGGGATGATCTTATTAATGCTTTTACAAGGTATGGAATTGAGAGGAGTAGGTCCCAAATTTCAAGACAGTGAAATGAGAGCTCTGGAGAAAATTCAGTGTTTTTCAGCTTGCCTTTGCTCTCCTCATTTGCTAAGATTCAAACCATCTCTTTAAATTCTGTGAAGCTAAGACAATTAATTTTAAAATTAGTGGAAATGAGTGAGGTCTCCAGATGTTAATGGCGTGTTTAATTCTACTGCAGTGACATTAAAGAACACTAATCAAGATGAGAACTAGGTTGTTCTCCAAGTTGTACAAATAGCAGAGTCATTTGGAGCAGCTGTAATAAAATCCCTTGTTGTGGAGCAAGGTGAGACACACAAATAAGGTCTTTCAGCCATTATTTTTCAGTCAAGTTTTAAGTGACATTAATTATCTGTAGCATGTTTTACAGTCCAAATGAAAAATTATAGTTTATAGCAGAGGTTGTCTCCATATTAAACCTATCAGTATTTTTTAAACTTGAAGAAGTAATTGTCAATCCTATAATACAATACAAATCCTATAATATAATACAAATTATAGCAAACCCAAATGTGTTCAGAAACATTTCAAAGACATTATTTTCTCATATTCTGGTTAATTTTAGGGTTGCTGTTTATCTTGTCAAAACTATTTGTACAGCCTTTGCCTTTTTTTTTCTGTGTTATTTTTCCTTTTAGCTTTCTCAGTTCTCTTTTCACAAGTTGAAACTTTTTTCTTCAAAGTACCTCTGCCATATAGGCTTTCCCCTAAAGCTAAAACAATACTTCAGTTAAATTATTTAATTGGCCTAGGTATTGGTCAGTAATGTCCAGGTGTGGCTGACACAGGACATTGCTGATGATTGCAGTGAATTGCATGTAATTAGAGTTGTAGTTAAACCCTGTAAAACTGATCTCTCACTGAATGCTTTAGATCATTAATATGGAAAAGTTCATGTCTGGTGAAATGTGTGATTTGTCAGTCTTTTGACACCTGTAAGAGTAAGGCATTAGTCATTTTTAGGGACTGCATTAACCTGTTTGTGATGCTGAAGTCCCACAAGCATACCTAGCCTATCTTCATAGAAGCCTGTCTTGCACTTCATTTTTCTTAAAATTTTCTTGTATTAAGAAAGTCTGATTCTTTTACTAAGAGTTTTCTGAACCTTCATATGTAGTAGTGATTTAGTAACAATTTAGTAACTCCTCCTTGCTTCCTTTTTTTTTTAAATCTTGTCTGTATAAAAATCTGTCTGGGTCAGTGTGTCCCAATAAAGCCTGTAACATTTACTTCTTTGATCTTTGTCTTCTCCTAATGCCTCACCCCCCAGTCTGGAGGCTGCTGTTCTGCAGCTTGCCTGCTGCTTGTTGTCAGCTTCCATCAGACTGAAGGATTTCTGGGAAGGAAAGATTCTTACAGGGCCTCTTTTCACCTCATCTGTGCAGCTAAAGATTTGACATTCACTTCCTGAGACAGGATGAAACTCTGGGTTTGAGAAACATTATGTAAATTGACTGTGTTATGTAAGGAACTCCTAATAATGATGTACATTACAGCATATTTATAAGATTAAAGGCAGTACTGCATTCTGAGCACTGGCAAAAAAGCAGACTCCCGAAAAATGTCTTTAAAATGAAATAATTATAATAGACTTGATGTTTGTTTGATGTTTCTGTTTAGGTGCTGACTGCAGCACAAATTAAATCAATTTGCCAGGCCATACTAGAATCAGGAAAACAGTATGCAGTGAAGAAGAGGAAACCAGTCCCACTGATGTATTCCTACTATGGAACAGAGTATCTTGGTGAGTAAAATACACCAACACCTCTGAGAGGGTGCTGTGTGGAGATACTGAGCTAGTAAGCACTTCAGGAATAAAATACATAAAATCTGCAGTGTGGGATTTCTCCTGAACCAGTTGGGACCATCCATCCTTCTCCTCCTCACGGGCAGCTGGGTTGGAGCTCACCTGAAGCAGTGGTGAAAGGCCACTGAGCAGGGCCCCTGTGGGCTTCTCAAGGCACAGAATCACTGCAGGAAGTGTGAGATTGGTTCACAGTTCCCTGGCAGGGGAGCAGAGAGAGCAGTCACTGAGTCACTGAGACCCTGGTGGGTACAGACAGTTCTTGCACTGAAATTTAGGTGTTAGCTCACTCATACTGTCAGTCAGTAACTGGAAATACCCATTTATGGCCCAGTTTCAATTTGCATTCAGCAAATGCAAATATATGGCCCAGATTCAGCAGTGTGATAAGAAGAGTAACACCTTGAAACAGAATTCAGTTCAGGTTCAGTTTAACTTCATACAGTGAGTTTCAGTCATATCAGAGTGAGAGCAGAAGGAATTCATACATATTTTTTGCAAAGCTAGAGGAACTAAAAATGACAGAAGTAGTAAAATATGGTGTTAAGCACTTAGAAATCTTTTATTCCAAGCACTATTCCAGTATGCATGAAGAAGATGAAGGAGCCATGCTCTTGACAAGGAAATCTGTCCCAAGGGAAAGTTGCAATGAGGTGCAGACAGGACCTAAACCCACCCTCTAATTCAGTTGTTTCTGTTCTTTCCAGGTGCAGCACATGGGCTTTCCTCAATCCTGCAGATGTTGCTCTCCTATTATGAGTACCTGCAGCCAGCAGATCAGGAGCTGGTGTGGCAGAGTGTGGATTTCCTGATGGACCAGGAGCAGAACAGCAACTGGCCCCCTGAGCTGGGGGAGACCATTGAGAGGGAGAATGAGCTGGTGCACTGGTGCCATGGAGCTCCAGGTTCTTTTCCCATTGATGCTATGCACAGCCAGATGCTGATCACATTGCTTTTCCACATTAGGTGATTCCATGTAGAAGATAATCGCAGGTTAAATTTGACCAAAGTGAAAAAAACCCAAAGGACATAAAGAAGTTACACTTTGAGATGGGGAAATTCATTAATTGCTATTGTTCTTCCCCAGAAAAACCTGTGTCCCATCACTGTTCTTGGGTAATAACACAGATGTAGCTTAAAGAACACTTCAGCTACTCCAGTGTTTGTTAAATTCAGACCACAAGTCAGCTTAACATTTCCTTAGGCACTTGAATTGGTTATGTGTCATGTGCATAAGGTTACTGTGAACTGAGCTGTGCAGTGCTCTGGTGAAGATTATGATTAATTTATTTAAATCTCCTCTAAAAATAAGCCAAATATCTTTTTTTTAGCAGAAGTTAGTTTGCGTAACTGTGTATAACTAGAATAAAACAGTGTATGCCTCACTGGGAAAAAACAATGTGAGTTTCTTTTTCTCATTTAGTAAAAGTTTGTATCTGTTGCCAGTGTAAGAAATTATCTTACCCATGCTTGTATTTCTGTCAGTGTAAGCAGGTGAGGTGAATGGGGATTTGGAGCCAATAGAAGACAGTGCTAAGAGTTTAGTGTTTAATGACAAAAATGTTACTGCTCTTTTAAAATTATGAAAGTCTGGGAATGTTGGACTAAAACCCTGAAATTCAATAATGCCTTGAAAAGATTGAAAGTGATATTGTCACGGGGTGGATAAGTACATCTCACGGTGTGTTTTTAGCATAGCAGATACTCCCTCCTCATGAAGCATTTAGAGGCTACACTAACATGTGTAGAGCATGAGCCTGCAGTTTTTTAGTGTATTAATCTTTATTTTCTTATGTGTTGAGACCCTTGGTGTGCTTATTACAAAAGACAATCTCACTGCTCTTTTCCTAGGCATTGCTTATCTGTTTGCCAAAGCTTACCTGGTTTCCAAGAAGCCTCAATATCTGGACACTTGTATCCGCTGTGGAGAGCTCACCTGGCAGAAAGGCCTTCTGAAGAAGGGCCCTGGCATATGCCATGGGGTGGCTGGTAGTGCTTATGTGTTCCTGCTGCTGTACAGGCTCACTGGGAACTCCAAATACATATACAGGGCACAGAGGTGAGCATTCCTGCCTTCTGGATTTAGGTAATACCAGAAAGTTTCAGGAACATTGATAAGGCAGAGTCCGTGATCACCACCCTCAGATGTAACCTGAGTGTTTAAGGTTCAGGATCAATTCTGGCCATGAGTTCTGGGGTGGGAGCTCTGCAGTCTCTTTCCAGGCTGCCTGAGTTCTCCCAGGCTCCCTCCCTGCCTGGGAGCCTGGTTCCTATAGAGGGAACAGGGCTGGATGTGGAGGAGCCACGTGCATCCAGGGCTCATCCTGATGCGATGGCAGCACCCAGACAAACTGTGCAGCCAAGTCCAGGAGTACAGTAAAACATGATTTGTTATAATTTTTTTCAGAGCATTTAACACTATTCCATATTACTAGAAGTGGAAATTAAGAATAGGATGTGGTGTGCAGTTATTTTATATTTTTTTAATTTATCATTCTCACCTTTAGCTTAGCTAGTGGGGTTAATTCTATTTTGTCTGAGTGCAAACACATGTGGTCCAGTAAAAATTCTGTCATGGTGCTGGAATTGTCTTTAACTATGTTTCTGTAGTTTACTGTACCTGTTTAAAAACATACTATTCCATGTTTGTTACTATTTTCCTTACAGCACAGAATAACAAGGGGAAGTGGTATCGTAATTAAGATGACTGATTTTCAGCGCTTTGCTTATTTTTTTAATTTCATGTAGTTATTTCAGCATTACAGAATTTGTTGCATTGATGTGAAACATTGCTTGCATCCCAAAATTTATCAAAAAGTATTTGTTTAATGATACGTCTTACAGAAATCAGAAAATGTTTATAGCTCTTAAATAAGCATAATTCACACACAGATTGTTTGTGTCTTCCGGATCTAATGAAATTGCATAGTGTAGAATTTGCAGAAAAGGTTAAATACTGATCATTCTACTTGCTTTAATTACTGAGTGCTATTAAAATGATACTTCAAAACATATAGACACAGAGGAACATAAAGTAATAACAAACTCTTTTTTTTTTCCCTCTTAGGTTTGCAGAGTTCTTATTTACAGAAGAATTTAAGTCTGGTTCCCGGGCACTAGAAAGTGTATATAGTCTGTATGAAGGTTTTTCAGGAACTGTGTGTTTCCTGACTGACTTGCTGCAACCCAACCAAGCTGAGTTTCCTCTCTTCAGTGTCTTTGTCTAAAGACTGATGTTCTCCAGGGCCACATCCTGGAGGTAGTGGGAGAGGGCACCTGCAGTTCCACTTACTTTTCAAGACAGGCTATGTACAAAACGAGCCGGGGTACCACTAATGCTAGCCTTAATGTAGCTGGGAGTCAGATCAAAAACAACACACACTGGGGCGTGGGGGGTGGGGAAGTGTGTGGTCAAAATAAATGGGTCAGTGGGGAAAAAAAATGGGGGAGCTGATTGAATCTGATGTTGTGGATATTTATCTAATTATTCAAGTGAGAGAGAAAGGGGCATTATCAAACTTTTTTTTTTTTTTTTTTGTGAAAAATAGGCAAGCTAGAATTGCAGGGACATGCAAAGAAGAAACAGTGATGCACCCAGTAGGTTTTAAAAAGAGTCCTGCAAAAACCATTCATGGAGCAATTCACTAACTGGGGAGGGTGTTGTAGACATGTCACTGCACTGCACAAAGGCAAAATCTGGGATTTTTTTACCTAAACCACATATGCTAGTTTTAGTAACATGTATTAGGAAAATCTGTATCTTTGAGCTCTTTGGTTCTCATATAATGGCATTTCTGTAGATAGCTGTGTGTTCAGGCTGCAGTTTCACAGTTCATTTCAGCAAGTGGGGTCTCATGTGTGTAAATGAGCACTGAATTGGACCCTTCCTTTTAGAGCTCAGTCTGTGGCAAGGAGCTGGTCTCCTTTCTGATCTGCTGTAACTGTGTCACCTCTTGTCAGTATTTTCCCAGTCACATGGAAGATGGGTGGAGCCATGGAGAAGACTTGGATGGAAAAGTTCTGTAGCAAAGATACAGCAGGCAGATGCTTTCTGCATGATACAGCATTGCTAGATTAGTATTGTTCAGTGATACAAAAGCTTCCTTTAAAAATTAATTACTTATAGCAAGCAGCATTTCTGAACAGTGCCCTAACTTTTTCAGATGATGGGAAACCTATTTTCCCTGATGAATTTTTCACTGCAAACCCTGCAAAGTGAATACAGTCCTGGGGTGGCATACTGATCCTCAGAAAAAACCTGATAACAAAACTCAAAATTGCTTTTTTTCCTAGTTAGCAAGATAATGGATATGCCCAAATGATTTTTAGCTAGAAAATAATTTAGATAGAAATAAATGGGTTGCTCAATACTAGTTGCACTAGCACATATATTTGCAAATATATGCTGTTTTTTATGTATTATAGATATGATGAGATGGTACTTGAAAGCTAAAGAAAACACTAATATAGATTTATACTAAAAATAGAAAATTAATATCTGTATTTAAAATCTATTTATTATTTATTTATTTTTATTTATATGGGAATAATATCTATAAAGACAAATCAGGAAGACCAGTATGTCTAAAACTGAAGTTAGAGAGAAAAAGCTGCTGTACATGCACTGCCAAACAAAGCAGTCCCTCTTCCTGCATTCTCAGCTGGAGGAGATTACAATTTCTTTATTTTTAATGCCTAATGGATTAAAGTTCCCATTTCATTTCAGTGGGCTTTGATCAGGCTATAAGTTGGAGCTAGGTCTTGAAATCCTTCCACATTTTAATATAATAATCCCTTCCTGCTCTTGCCACTGTTATTTTAATGAGATGGCTTACATTATTATGAGCTGCAGATAAAGATTTCTGTTACTCTGTCTTGCACTGTGCAGCTCTAATTAATTACTTAATCATAGAAATAACCATATTTCACTGGTGAATAAAGCAATGCAGTTCTGTATCAGTTTGTCAAGAACTTAGGTATCTTTTTTGTGAATGGAAATGTTAAATCTCAATATACGTTTGTTATGTGTTTATTAAAACACATAAGTTAAAAGGCTATATGGTGTTTTAAGAAAGCCACTAATGTCACTTACTTGGTTAGTCTGAGCAGTGAGATGTGTGCACACAGAGGGGTGAATTCCATAGGAACACATGAGGCTGAATCAAAAAGTCAATGGATATGTGAGTGTGCTCTGCCCAGCCCTGTGGAAATGCTCCTGTTAGATCAGAGCAGAGCCAACTGTCAGTAGTGAAGATCCCAAATCCATTAGGATTTTTTATCTAGTTGGTTCCTGTAACACATTTGGCTCCTATATTTCATAAAGGAAGGTAAAACTTGGCCTATCCACTTCTTCTAAATGTGATCCTTCACAAATGCCAGGGAATAAACATTGAGCTCAGTGTCTTTTCTAGTGCTTTCTCCTATGTGTCTCTCTTTGTAGAATTTCTTCCAATTCACATTCAGAGGAGACTCTGATCTCTGTGTTCTGATCAACAGCACACTCAAAACAGATCTCCTGTCCCCACAACCATTCTCTGTATATGAAGCCACATTTTGGAGAGACAAAACAGTTATTTGAGTAAGAGTCAGTCCATTCAACAATGAGAAAACTCATGGAACCACCCAATTTTTGAAATCTAGGTCCCAAACATTATGTGAGTTCAGCACTGACTCCGGCAAGAGGAGCACATGAACATCCAGTCTCATGGGATACATCTGGTAAAAATCTTGGAACATATTTGTTCATCTCTTTCATCAGACATGGCAGTTTGAGCTCACTCTCAGAGATTTTTTGCTTTTCTTACCTGACCTGGCTGGGTTAAGGTGGCTTCTAGATGTGCTGCAGTCACAGCTTCTGAACACAGTGCAAATACACCCCAGGGCTCTTTGGAAAATGTGACTCATTAAATGAGCAGGGATTTTTCATCTTTCCCCTCTTTGTTGTCTCATCTGATTTTTTTCTCTGTACTATATATGCTGTTACAGATGTGCTGTTGCAATCTTTATTTGTTGCTTTTAAGACATTGACAGAACAGCAACCTGAGTAGAGCTGTCAGCACTTTCCAGTGTAACAAAAAGTAAGGTCCTTCTTCCTGCTTTGAGAAATCAACCTTGCAACCTTTGTTAGACATTCTCCATGGAATGCTGTCTCCTCCTGCTCCCAAACTGGGCCCTTAGGAACTGGAAAATGTATTCCTGAACAGATTTTGCCCTGGTGCTGTGACAAAAGACTGTGTTGTGGGAAACTCGAGAAGCCTCTTTCAGGATGTAAAACACAGTAACTACGTCATATTTGCACATTAGTTTCTTGGTTGTGTTTAGTTTCTAAAGTGTAGGCAATAGGAATTTAAGTGATATAATAGTATTTCTGATTATGCTGTTAAAGCAAAGAGGATGCATTATGTGGGTATTGGTGCTTATTTGTGATGTACCTGTGTTTGTGTGGTGCTATTTGTGAGTAAAGCTGTAGATTACACATCAGTTTAAGGAGCTATATACTGTTCATGACTTTCAGCCTGCCATCCATAGATTACTGTCAGGGAATAATTTTGAGGGAAGCTAGATCTGTAGTGTCCAGATTTATTGATTCCAGGATTCACAGAACCAGATGCTGTAAGTTTTATCAGCAGTACAGTTCTAACAAATATATATTTATTTTTAATTGCTACTCACAACTTCTCATCATAATAACATGTTTATTTTGTGACACTGCTTTCAATATCTACTTTGTTTGCATCATTTTTGCCTTCAATTTCCCTGCCTTTGTTTCCCAGCCTTTGAATAACTTGAGGAGGCTGAAGAAGCAGCCCAGGTCTTTCGTTCCTGAAAATAAGAATGATTGATTTTGCTTAAGCAGTGTGTTCTACTAACTTGCATTACATTATTTTATGCTCCCAGATGGTCTCTTCTCTCTGGCTGTGCCATTTCCCACCTGCTAAGGAAAAATCATTATCCTTTATAACAACTGTCACTGGTGTTTTACTTCATTAAATAAAACAGAGACTTTCTAGGGAGCATGGTCACTTCTCCATGCTTCAGTGTTTCAGTTCTGTTAGGACAATCGAAACCAAGTGAAATGGCTAAACATTCCAAAATTCATTTTTAAGTAGTTCTGGGAAATATACATAAGGGAATACAAGTAAAGGGATCACCTTTATTGCTACTCTGTCAAATTAAGTAATGCCACTTTGATGTTCTAATACTGATTATATATGAACATGGAAAGAATATGACAAGAATACTGATTTTTTTTTAATACTGTGGAAAAAAAAATGAACCATAGGTATCTGCTCTATTCAGAAATGTGGAGGGGCAATATGTGCAAATGGAAACTTTGATAAGCAATCAAGTTTTTGTACTCATATAGTTTTCTGCAATACAGTTACAGCATCTGCCAACATATTGCATGTTTTATGCCAACAGTGAGCTATTTTAATGTATGCATGCATTTTGAGACTGTATCCTTGTTCTTCGGATCTCTGAGGTCTGCCAAGTAAATCTCAGGTGCAGTAATCTTCTACAAACCTTGAATATTCACTGACATAAGTGCATATTCTAATCTGTGGCAAGATTAGCATATCAGGACTAAATTTGCCCGATTGATTTTCAAAGAGCAATCTTGCTCTGAAGAGCTAACAATTGCTGGCTGGCAGCACAGCCTGGACTGCTCTGAGAAGACATTTCAGTTTATATAAATATGTCTAAGACTAAGTAGTAACAGCAGAAAGCTAAATTGAAAAGAAATAAGAAAATGACCAAAAATCCCACTATGAGGGGAACAACATACTTCAAAGCCATAAGCCAAAAATGCTCAGGGCCCACAAAATAATACAGCAATTTAGGGATGTGAATAGGCATTTTCCAAAGGAATAGCAGTGTTTCATGGCACAGGTAGTGGTACAGTAAGCACTGTGCACGTTTCAGCTGCCTTGAACAGCACTCCATTGCCATTATAGAAAAGTCATCAAATGCTAAAAAACATTTGCCTGTGATGGAGTTGCCTGTAGCTGAACCTACTGCCTACTCCTGTCTTTTAGGGGAACAGAAGTGACGTGCACTATCCATGATGAGGCAGTTTAAAAAAATACAATCTGCCTTTGAATTACTAAACTTGACTAATTTGTACTGTCACCATTGGTCTTACACCCTGTATATTGGAAATTCTACATCATGCTCTCAAAAAACAAATTTATAAACAGGAATCTGCTTGAAAATACATAAGGCCGTA